TAAAATTATAAATTATAAATATACAAAAATGAGTTTTATTAGTTTTGATTTTATAAATAATTGCTGAATTGATTTTTGCTGATTGTTGACTGAATTTAAGCTGATTTATGCTGAATTTTGACCAATTTTTAACATTAATGTTGATTGATAACTGATTTTCTATTTATCTAAAATGCCGATTTTTTGGCAATGATCAGCAGAATTAGACAATAATTCGACCAACTTTCGATACTTTAAATGTGACGAATTGTATTATTTTACCTAGTGATATATAAATAACTACCAATCGTTAATATCTGAATGTTCTTTTGTGTGACACCTGAATTGGGCAACATCGGCTATAACTAAAAATGCTGATTGTTTTGGTAATGATCAGCAGAAATTAGACTATATTTTCAGCACTTTAAAAAAGTGACGAAATGGATTATTTCGACTAGTGCATTAAAGCAGACGGGAAATAATACCTTTTCGTATGCCATCTTTAGATAAGATGTTCTACTTTTTATCCTAAGATAAGCATTTACTAATTGTACAACTTTTTCATCACATCCATAATAATTTTGACCATTTTGGTCCAGTACACTTCTTTAGAAAGTTCTTTCCTGAAGAAGGTTTCATCACATTTTTCATAATATCTATCTAGGCAGGTGAAATACAAAGAATCAGTATCCCCATATTTTATCCCAAACTCTTTCTTTGATATGAATTCAGCAATAAGATTAAGGTTGTTTTTTCCTGTTATAGTAGTCCCACAGGCTAATTCGTGAAGAAAGATTGGAGATTTTGAGTTTCCCGCTTTTCTATAAAAAGTGTTCATATATACCTTTAAAGCTTTTTTTGCTTTGAATCCCAATAATCGTAATCGAAGTATACGGATGAGTATTTTAAATTTAAGCTTTCTGGAATCCTTTTGTCTCTTTCTTTAACTAAACTTATCATCTTCCTAAGATGTTGCTTTTTCTTTCCTAGTGGGGCTAGACATGATTTAAGCTTCAGCCTCTTATTAGATAAATCCTCTAATACAGCCGGATATAGGCCTTGATATAGGTTTTTCTTTTCCGTTTGGCTATCATGGCTAGGGATGATAAAATAACGGTTATTTATGATTTGGTTAATTAACCATTAATTAATATATATATGAGGCGTGAGCTAGGAAAATGACCTTCTGAGATTAATTTATCTTTTTTTTTTTAAGTGCGGTAGCTTCACATGATCTTTATTTAAAGCAAGTAAGATATAAATAAAATACAAGATAAGAAAAGAAAATACAAATCTTCTAAGTATTCTAAACTAATTAAAATAAATCAAAGTCAACCCTGCACCGCTCTAGACTAATAATCCAATCAAAAGAAAAGGAAACTTAACCATCCAGATGTGAGAGCGTGGTTGCTACCTGTCCAAAAATTTGACCAGTCATTACCATACCTAAAAGAAGAAATAAATGATGAAGAAATAAGTATAGAAGGAGGTGGGAAGTAAGGAAAACCACTCGTGATCTAATTATTCTTTTTGTGTTGTAAAATAATGTTGTCTATTTTTTCTGTATTAGTGAAAATTTCACATCTATTGGCCCAGATTTTTAAAACTGACGTAAAAATGTGATGGTAAATGTGTGAAATAAGTGAAATGGTAATTAAACTATCAGTTGTAATGATCTGTATTAAATTAGATAAGTCCAACGGTACTATGCCTTTAATGAGGTCTATGAAACAGAAGTCACTTGAATTGTGATCCTAATTCCAAAAGGAGAATGTCATTATCTGATGAAGTGTACTTTGTGAGTTAGTTAAAGTGTTGTTAAGTAGTGATAGATGGTGATAAATTTCATGTTTTGTGGATGCTATAATATCGATAACTGTTTCTATTGAGTGTTGGCTAGTCCAGATATGATTAAAATCTTCATAATCGAGTTGGCATCTACAACATATCTAGTTTTGATTGTATAGTAACGGGCTCCTTTTTTTCAAAACTTCTAAGGATGGAAGCATTTCTAACATGAATTTAATTTTCTGTTTTTTGGTGAAGGAGGCTCAGAAGGATGTAGTAGATTTAGCTTCGTTATCATGCAGTACTTGAAAGATAACATTCCAATCAACCCTTAGTGAACGATATTTTGTGAAGTGTGGTAAAAGTAAGACGTTATTAAAGCATTTCGCTTGTAGATGACTTTTGATAAAATGACGTGTAGGAAGGAGAACAGGCATATTATTAAAATGTGGAATCGTGGTGGAGTTGAAGGCATTAAAATTGAAGGATATAGTGGGTCCATTAGATTTTGCCAGCTGATCTACAATATTATTAAAGGGGTTGTCAGCATGTGCTTTAACTTTATTCATATGTAAAGTGATGTTTTTAGCATGTAGTAGATCGAAAAAGTATAACCAGTGAGAATAATGATAGAATTTGTAAATGGAGTTGTGTGAGGAGGAGGTGGTAAGGAAGAAATGAAGGTTGTGAAAGATGTTAATAACAGAGAGGGAATCAGTAAAAATGCAGATGGTTGAATGCGAAGGAGTAACGAATGTAGTAGATATAATTGCTAATAGTTCAGCTAAGAGAGAGAATGGGTTATGTAGATAAAAGGAGGAATGAAATAAAGTCGAGGGCCATTGTGAGTCAGTTTGCAACTAGGCTACTCCCATCCGGAGAGAAGAGAAACCAAGGTCAATGAGAGAGCCATCTGTATAGAAGGATAAGAAAGTTGTGTTGGAAAAGTTAAAAGTTAAGTTAGTAAGTTGCGTCATAGAATCATTGTCAAAGATATAATTAGATTGAGGAATATCGATGTTTTTGGAATAGTAAGGAAGTTGTTGGTAGGATTAAGTGAATTTAAGGCAAGTTCATGTAATATAATAAGAGATAAAGGACAAAAACGCCCGATATGGTTTTCGGCTTTTATAGAGATCACTGAACACAAATGCAGCAGATTTTTAAAGCAATACAATGATTGTCTCCATAACATTTTTCTGTGTGACCTTGTAGATGGGTCATTAAGAGGGCAACTAAAACAGGGATCTAAAATAGTGCGAAACTGTTCGTCAATCGTCATAGTATAATGCTGAATATGTATGGTATTCTGCTCAATAAGGAGAATCTTTCCCAGTGTTGAGTTATTTAAGTAAGAAGCCCATAGCGTAATATAGGTGACTCCTTTTGAGTCTACTGAAGGAGTAACTTGTTTAACATAACATTGGTGCTCTATTTGTAAGGTCGGGTGTATAGTACATGTTTGAGAGTCAGCAAGAACGGTTGATTCGATAATGTCAAACCATTTCGGCCGCTTTCTGAACTTAAAGGTTCTAATGTTCTGGAAAAGATCACGAAACAGAAGTAAAAAGTTTCCATTTGAAGTCATCAGTTGCGAAAGGAATAGCAGTCCTATTTGATGAAAGTGATTGGAAAACTTCTGATATTCAAGCAGATTGATTAATTCTAGGATAGGTTTTATACCTCCTTGTATAACATTGGTATTTAAGTCATGAGTAGCGAACGAGAAATTCAATGATCTCATCGATATTAATATTGAGGACCACCAGTCATTAAAGAGAGCCGGTGAATGAAAGGGCCAAGAATGAAAGGGCGATGATGGTAGCCATTCCTTAATTTGAAGTTGCAGAATACGAATCTTGGATGTAATTCTAAGCAATCCAGGATCGTTAATTATCTTTTGTAGGTTCGAAATCTTAGCTTGTAATTGATGATCATATAAATGTGCTAAGTTAAAAGTCTTTGAAGAGTGAATAATTGCGTTGGGGGTGCTAATCGATAAATGTAAGACTTTTTTAAATGTTTTACAGAAGATTCCCATTAGCATGTCACAAATGTTAGTTATCAGGTAAGTAATCTGTAATTTGTAAAGTACCCTCAAAATGATCACCACATTGAATAAAGTTGCGAAATGTTTGTCGGTTAATCTTTTTCTTTTCATGATATTGGTAGAGTTAGAAATTTCCTCATGCACTTGTTGATAAATAAATTTCTTGTTCTGAGAGATTGAGACCCAAATTCCTAAATAACGAATAGGAGTTTTGGGATCACTTGGTTGTAACCATATATTATTATTGGTAAGCGTAAAATTAACTGTATTCTGTATTGGAAGTGACGTTAAAAGTACAGACTTGTCCCAATTAACTTTAATATCATTTAAATGATAGAAGCTATCAGCGATCAACATAATATTATTGAGGTCGTGTTTGGATTTACTCAACCATAGAGTGTCGTCCATATAGGCTAGGCAAGGCACATGAGCATCAAAAAGGGGTGGAGTAGCTTCTGTGATATTAGTGAATCGATCTGTTTTCAAAGTATAACCTAGATTGGATTGTTAAATTCATACGAGCAGGTGGTCGTAGTAAGATTATTTCGCCTTGATCAATACCAGCAATCACTTGATAATCATCTGTATTTCCATGAGCTGTGAAGACTTGGTTAAATTGTGATGAGAACAGAGCATGGATGAAGTTGCAAAAGGAAGAAGGTAATTTGAGGCACAGAAGGGCTTTTTGAAGCATGAACATATTAACTATGTCATATGCTTTTGACATATCCTGAAAAAGGAATCACAGTTGTTCATTGTGTTGGTGATGGTGGTCATATATGAGATTATCTAAAATATGGATGGGTTCAAAAGTGGATTGGAAGGGGAGACCTGCAAAATTGTTTTCTTTTAAAACATTATGATTGGAGAGAATCTCTAGTAGCCTTTTATTGATAAGCTTTACCAAGGCTTTTCTAGGGCATTCTAATAAGGTAATCGGTCTTGTGTTGTTAAAATTATATTCCCATGGTTTTGGTTTGGCGATGGGGTAAACGTAAGCATGATTCCAAGCATCTGGTATTAGGGATAGATTTAGACAGCCACATATGAAAGTTCAGAAAGCTTTGTTTGTTCGAAGACCAAGATGTTTTAGAAGTTCATTAGAAATCTTTGAAGGGCCACTAGCCTTATCGTTTGGAAGCATTTTAATAATCTAAGTCCATTCCTCCTCAGACAGATTGTTCATGAGATCCTGGTAAATCGATGAGTCAATATGAGTGAGTGGATCATAAAAGGGTTTCCATTCATCCGGGATATAAGAGGGTGCATTTTGTGGTCCTGTAGCATGTTGAAAATGTTGTGCTGTTTCTTTTTTAACGTCCACTTCTGAGGTGAGCAAACCAAGATTGGCTTGTGAATTGTCAAAACAATGATCCAAGATGATAGTTTAGCGTTTACAATCCAAAATAGAATCTATCATCTTTGATTGGTCAGTTTGAAAGTTGTCACATCTCTGTTCAAGAGCTTGCTTTATCATCTTTGTCTTATGCTCATCTTCTTTAATCTTTAAGATCGTTGATACTAAACCCAGGAGAGAGCTAATATTAGGCAGGTTTTGGTGAATTAAAATAATAGTGATAGTATTGATCAAATCAAAGTGTGTATCAAAAAGGGGTGCGAAGGACCTAATTTTGTTATAGATGTTGATCCATAAGTCTTTGATTCTGCCAGTATTGATACTCTGTAAGGAAATACGTTCCAGCTTCTGAAGATCAAATAGTTGCCTATAATCTTTTTTAAGTGCTGAGGGTCTAAAATCTTATTTCTTGGGTGAGTAGCTTTGTAATTGCTAAACTGTGCATATTGATATTTCTGATATAAATTCTGCATTTGTCTATCATTGGGTGCTTTGCGGTTATGGCGGCAGTTATATGATTGATGTCCAGGAACTGAGCAAATATAACATAGTTTCATGTTGGGGTCTGTCCAAATGAGTTTCTTTTGGTACAGATAGAAAGTATCACATTCTTTTACAAAATCAAGTTTTTCTTGTGATTTAA